TGTAGATTCTCATGCGACGTGTGTTTTCATAGCCGATCGTCGACATGAAAGCCCTGAACCCTTTCGTATTTTTACCCTCTTTTTCCAAAACCAACAAGCGTCTACATACGTTGAATCTAAACGCGAATGCTACGAATCGGGAACTGACAATGATTCAGTTCAAGGGGTTCGTAACCCTTAACATGCTAACAGGACCAAAACTTAATTCGAAACTGGCGGGAATGCAATAACGCACGAGGGACGGCCGAAAACTGAGATTTTACTAATTAAACTTGGAATTATACTTTGAGGGGAGTTGAATCGTTACGATTCTACATTCTACTTCAATCTAACTATAAACGATACAAGATTAACAAATTTTAAAGGGTTTTTATTGTATGGGAATACACCACAGGTTTGTTGTTTCGTTCTTGAGGGATTCATGTTGGATTATTAACTAGATTTTAATATTTCTACATATTTCGTTAACTGGGAAAAATTATTGTGATTTCCACAAAATTTTATTTTATTTGACAAATGGATGCGAGAATTAAATTTTTTTAAATTTTCAATAAAATATTACTTATGTGGGGATCTTTACCCAAAGCTTATTTCTGTATTTCAAAACTTTATAACTTTCTTCATCTTTATTGTATACCGTAATTCTTCATCCAAAATTCCCAAATTTCCTAATATCTTTTATTACCTTGAAAAACCTAATCCCCGAGTCGGACGGTTTGGCACGACTCGGATTCCCAGAATCCAATGGTCAGCTTTCCCTCTCTTCAATGTCATACACTTTCTTCTACCAATCCAATCTATTACTTTCTTCCTACTTCCAAATTTCTTGTCACCACCCATCAACCTGAAGGGTTGCTGGTGGGTGACAAGGGTTTAGGAAGGACAGTTCTTGACATTACTTCAAACACTACAGTTCTTAACTATTCTTCTCTACAATACTTCTTAACTATACTTCTTCAAGACTTCTTAATAAACATTGTTCGTGATAATAAACATCGTGTCCTTTACTCACTCATCAATTATAACATTTGCACTCACTCACCGATCCCACACTTATAAAGAGAATAAACCTACCTTTTGTCTTAAAATTCTATCAAATTATTGGATATTGAGCCAATAAAATATAACTTACTGTATAAAATATTTTACCTTCTATATTATCAAGAAAAATCAATAATTTATCTCCCATTCGTTGAGAGTTACAACCAGTTTGCTAATTCAGTACTTTAAATTGTAAATTTATTAATATCTCAAAAGCTGTCTGCGATACAAACATGATTTTTTCAATTAGTAATTGAAAAATAAAGAGAAATAGATTTCCGCAGAAATAACTCGCCTAAATTGATTAGTTTGTTAATTATTAATAAATAACTAAACAATTGAACTTCTAGATACAATAACTGCAACTCTATGCACTTTTGACATTCAAGTAGTATTGAATTATTGTACAAAAGCGTTTTTACAGTAATAGCTACCTACACCAGATACACAGATACTGTGCCACCAAAAAAATGTTGTGGGCTGGGTTCAATTTTCGTCTGACTCGTTAATTATATTCGGCCAGACACGTCCCGCCACTCGAGCACTCGAATTTTACACGTGTCATTCAATTATTCACAATTATTTACCGTAGTGCATACTAATTCAAACATTCAATATATAAAAAATGATAAAAAAACACCAGACAAGCATATTACTGTAATTATTTTATATCAAAATAAAATATAAAGGAAATATTCCAGGCCTGCAAAACAAGAAATAAGAGAATAAAAGCGCTCATACGATGATTTTTTCGCGCTCGTGCGTGTTGTATGCGGAAAACGAACGAGTTTATGACGTTATAATCGAAATTTAATGTGAAATCAATAGCCTTCAAATTCACACAACGGGCGCGGTACTACAAATTCGAAGCACTTGCTGTGCATTATTGGGGTATCATCGAGGGTATATCATTACACGAAACACACCGAACACTGCGAATACGAGCCAATGACAGCCAATATACCATCACATATGAAGTAATATCATTCAATATCATTCAATATCATCCCAAACATTCAATATCGTGTGTGGGTGTCGAGTATTATCAAACCAATATTGCGCATATCAAATTTTCATTCGTATTCGTATTCGTATTCGGTCTGTGGGGAGGACACATTCTTTAACCGCAATAATAAAACATAACCACAATTTTTAATATTTAGTAATATGTATGTAATATTACTGGTTTGGGCTTGTGGGGTAATTAGTACGCGCGGTGTTGGCCTCCGACCCATTAGTACATAATTAGTCTTAGTCAAGACTTCCATTAGTCCTGATGCGTCCGGATTGTCGAATGCGTTTCGGCTTTTTATCCAAGCGCCTAATAGTTAATGCAATTAAAAACACCTCGAGCTTAACACACTCATCCACGGACACAAAAAAAAATTAAGAAACGATTAGTGCCTTGGCTTAGTCTTTAAAAAAGCACATTTTAAATTAATTCTATATGATGAGCATTTAAAGTTAAACATGTTAAATAAAGTTATAAATCATCTTTTATGAGAAACTGGTAATTCTTATGGGTGAAGGTTGAATGACTGTCAAAAATTAAATTGGGAAGTGGACACTGTGATTGTGACCACCCTTGAGAGAGGTTCAAAGTACCACCCCTTGAGTTTTAGAAATGTTGGTGTTTAGAAATGATTTCTTACTTTTTGTTGACAATTTTATGCTTCTAACGATTTTATTTCGCTGTGCGTTAGGAGTTTTTGAATGTCAACTTCTTCTTTGTGCCTGCCAGGTGTGTTGTGACTTTAGTTTGGCGATTACATTGTAATCATCAGGTACTTACCTCCTAAAATCTTTATAATGACATGTTGCAACATCAACAACCAAACACGTTGAAATAAATTATTGTCAACGGTTGAAAGATGAAACCATTCAGAAATCTAAAATCAGGAAGTGCAAGCAAATCATTCAACGTATTAAAAGATCAACTGCTGATAGTAAAATTATTAATACAAAGTTTTTATTGTAAATAAACTCTAAAATTATGAATGTAATAAATTTTGATATCCATATTAGGCAACCAAACCTACACCTACACTTACCTAATTAGTTCCTAAATATCGATTTTTGCAAAACTTTTTCTTGCATCATTTTAACTAAACTTTAACAATGATTAAAGTGTGTTATTGAATACAATCAATGAATTCAGACTGTTATCCTGTTGTACGTCAACATTCTAAGCAGTGAATACATTGAATGATTTCATTCTCACAACGAATAGTAACGATCCGATCCGTTTCCAACGTAAATCGCATTCAACACGTCGCAATCAAAAGGGGCCTCACACGCTTTTTAAGACCACTCCACGGGACGCACGGATGCACCAACATGTTCAACATTCAAACGATTCAAACCATTTTTCCGAACCACAAGTCACAAAATCACAGTACACGCAGACGCATTGGGATCTTTACTGGCCGATATTTTCAACAATCAGCACGGCAGCGCTATCTAGCGGAAGAAATTTTAAGTTTTAATTCATCAGCTGACTTTTTTAAGTTTGCAATATAACAAAGAATTAAAAGAAAAATATTAATTTATATTCGCAAAATACGAAAAATATTACATTTCTTGAAAGACACTACGGTTGTTTTATTGCAATATGGATTTTACAGTTAAATAAATGTACATTTTAATGATTTATCATAATTTCAGAAGTTACCTGCTTTATTTCATATTTATTCTTATATTTTCTAATTTTAGAGCATAGTACGTAAATATCATACTTCAAACTACATTTCAAACTAATAATACTAGTTTTGTCTACTTTCTATACCTCTAGGACTTAATAAAGAGCTTAATAACGCAATCAAATCCGAATCAAAGTTTTTCTTCTAATTTTATTTATTTTCTTCTTCTAAGAATTTGTAAAACCTACTATTATTTTCTCATTTTCAACGCAGCTTTTATCATTATTATTTATTTGAATAGGTACAAAATTAAACACCAGCCGTGATGGCAGAATAAAAAAGTTAAAGCAGAAAAAAAAAAGCTCGGTGCAAACGCTGCCGGCAGAATTGCACGTTTCCAACAATTTTCATCACATCGAGCGATAATGAAATGAAAAAAAGAAAACAAAACAATACACGGCACAGATGGTACTTTATCTGCGAACATGTCAAATTCACCACTCTCTTCTCTCATTTAACCCTTATTTTTCATATTATTTTTATTGCTTTCATTAGGTTACTTAAATTTTTTCCAGTTGAAAATTTCAATTTAAAACCACTCAATTTCCGCATTGTCGCCGTAGATTGCGCTCGCGCTTGCTTTTATTTGTGCATCGGCAAATTAATTACGCTTTTATCGTCCTCCGCTGGCGTCGCGCCGATAAAAAACACGATTTGTATGAATATTTGCATGCTACATGCGACATGCGCTGCTCTCGACAATGGGGCAGCTGCAGGTGCTTTGTGCAGTTTCAATTAAGCGAACGCTTTCCATCATATTACACTTGAACAAATTTCGAATTAAATTTTACGCCGAAACAATCAATAAAATTATACGTTTGCGACCGAAATAAAATGTTTCGGGGGCTGATAAACAACGAAAATTACATACATCACTGAAAAAATATTTTCATCTATTTTTTGGTTTAGATATTAACGGTCGTTAGTTTCACGTCCATCAATATGCTTGAACATAGTTATTTAAATTATGGTCAAAAAATATTTTTTTATTTTCACATTTCCACATTTTCGGTGGTGAAAATGTTATTTTTACCGCCTGGTGATGTTTTAAATGGAAGCAAAACAATGTTGAAATGTACATCTTTCGTAACGAGTGTTAACAAACCAACGTTAAAAGCACACCATCACAAATCAAGAAATATTACGAGTAACGCCATCTACAAACAAAAATGACAAAATTTTGATGAAATTTTTTCTATCGAAACATGACAACGTATCACTCATCACTCAATCAATGAATTGCTGTCATTCACACAGCTTTCCGAATGACAAGCGGCGCACTTCAATCGCGTTTTTGATTCGACGCGATTGTTTTCGGAAAATGCGAGTTTTAAACGAGACACACATCGATCGAAAATCCATTAATCATCGAGGACGCTACTAAATTACCACGTGCGCGTCTAGTCACAGCTTAATGGGTTTCATTTTGTGTTTAGTGTTGTGAGAAGCTTTTTAAACATCTTTACACACGGTGTGTTTGCAGTTTCGCTGTTTCGCTGGTTTTATTCTCGACCGGATGACGTAAAACCACCGTTGATGTCAGGAAGGAAGCATCGGCAGGCAGACGAGGCAAAAACCACTTCCAGCTTCCAGGTGGATGTGGATGTAGCATGCTAGAATGTGAAATTATTCCTACCTGTGGAAGACGTTCGTTCGTTTACGTTTCACCCACACAATATTCCGCATTGCACGCCACTTGAGATGTGTAGCGAGTGCACGAAAACGTACCGCAAACAGTGTATTAAACATTTATTTATTTGAACGTGCATGCGCGAGTTTAATGACGATGCTCCACACGAATATGTTATTACTCTATCTCTAGGGCGATAAAAACGCCCGGTCGACTCTAACTTGCATTGAATTACCGACATTTTAGCGTTTAGCAGTTGCCTATTGCTTGAATTTATTAATGTATTCAAATATTTTTTAAATTTCGATCGAAATTTTTGCCTGCTTTGTGTGGCGCAGTTGAGGGCGACCGATTAAGGCGCCACTTTGAATAATGACTGTTATTAGGCCGTCTCAAAAACTCGTCCCGACCAATTTAGCGATGACCGTCGCTGGCTGGCCACGATGACGATTTCAAAGGGTGAGTGCGCATTTTAAATGTCTGGCTAGGCATTCGTGTCTTCGGAAACGTTTAAGAATTTAAATTTTGTGCTCCACATCAGATCTCAAACTCGGTGATTATAGCTTTTAGAAGTTAGAATCTGTCGAATATTCTCATGGATACAATTTGAAACAGAAATTTTGAGTTTTTTACTTTAATTGCGATTATCTCGGAAACTGTTGGGCTGAGCAAGATAAAATTTGGTGTGCTAATTTATTACTATATTTAAAATGCCGTAGTAAAATTTTGTTTTTAATTCTCTTTTTTTTTGGTTTATTTATCATAAAAGTGATTTTTTTCAACAAAAAATTTATTCAAATTTTTTTATTCCAGTTGAAAATAATTAATAATTGGTTTATCTAAAGAATTTTAGATAACAAATTTTGCGTTTATTAAAAAAAATCAAAAAACTTCGGAAACGTTTATTTCGGTTCATACATAAACAAATTTTGCATATTATTTGACAAAAAAATAAAAAAATGTGTTATTTATATTTATTATTAGTTGCTAAACATTCCGGTAATGAGTTTTAAACTTTAATTAAAATTAAAATAATTTCCTAATTTCCAATTTTGAATAATAATGCAATATATCCCCTTAAGTAATGAAAATAAAAAGTTTTTATTCAAACACAATGCGTACACCATACAAGCATACAATTAAACAACAAAAAAAAATCCAAAGAAGAATCGATGCATCGATTAAAAGCGTCGATACTCGTTTGTAGACTCTTTGTTTTGAGCCTCGTCCTCGCCGTATCCGAAGCCTCTCGTCTTCTCGACCTCTTGGTCGTCGTCACATATTCTCTGTAATTTTTCCGACTCATTGTCTTTGGCGCTGCGTCGTATTCAATGAAACAATAACACAATAATACACTGAACACACACCACTAATATAATCACATAGCTTATGCGTGAGCATAATATTACGATGATGGTTGAATACTCGTCGTATAAGACTTGCAGGTCTCGTAACTTTATGAATCGAAGAATGCAGCGCGGCGAACATTATTCAGCGGACAATAAAAAATACGTGCATATAATCGAAGCTGCATAATGATTAAAGTCAATGTATTGAAAATTACGTTAGTTACGACATAATCGTTAGCCATTTCTGCACAATGCGACAAAACAATGAGCCATTGTGAATGATTCATACAGGACAATTAGAAATAATTATTATCACGGAAAAAAAATTGGAACAACACAAATATTTTAGATTTTAATGAAGGAAGTGAGTGAATGTGGTGCGATCTGTCGGTGTATAAGTAAGATGTTGATGTTTATTTGGTTGTGGTAGGTACCTAGGCAACCAATCATACATTAACTAACCGAAAAATCAACCGCAACGAATTAAAACTTAAACAGAAAAACAAAAGTTTGAAGCATTTCAATCGAAATGTTTTGTAATCATTTACAAATTACAAATTACAATTTACCAATCGAATGGCAAGTGTAGAGAAACTAGCAGTTTTTACAACAACAAAATAGATAGATATTACCATATATTACTATATATTACTATATACTATATTAACTGTTTTGTTGTTTTACTTGTGGCGACATCTGTAGAAGCACAAGTACGTTGATGTGTGCTTAGTTGTATATTAAGAACATAGGCAACCAAGAATAAAATTGGCGGAGTGTATACAGGTGGCGACATCTGTTAGAGCACACATAAGTTGAGATGTACTTGATTGTGTGAGAAACGAAGGCAACTAATCATTCAATGAGTAACCTAAAAATAAAACACAATCTAATTTAAAATTAAACGACAAAACAAAAGTTCACAACATTTCAATAGAAAAGTGATCACAAACAAAGTGTAGTATTTGAATGGTAAGCACAGAGAGACTAACCATTTTTACAACATAAAAATAAGTAGGTATGTACAACATTAATTTTATTTATTTGTTTCTTGTTGTTTTAGTTAGTAAATTTTTCTCTTACGATTTGCACATGAGAAAGACCATGTCGTGGCATGGCCGAGCGAGCCCGATTGACGTCGATTAAGAGTAACAACATTCCCGTCTTTATTTATAGATCATTAACTCTTAGTTATCGGGCGCGCGCGCCGCAGCCACAGCCTGATTGACTTTTATGCGCCGCGCGGTTCTTCTTCTTCTTCTGGCTGTGCGCGCGGCTAATGTGAGTCGGTGTCACTCATCCGATCGCTCGCATTATGCTCTTAATAAATTTTCAAACGGCGCATTATAAAAACACCGCCGAGACAACAAAAGTGAACGCAAGGTAAGAGGCGACTGCGAAACAAAACCAGTTCGAAGTGCAATGATACAGGCATTTAAAATCATTAAAACCTGCGCATTTAGTGTATGTAGTTGAAAGTTTCATTCAACACAAAACAAGCAAAATCTCAGCGATTTTTGTTGAAATTGTTGTGAAAAGTTACGATAATTGATGCATTTAAGCACTAAGTGGACTTTTCGGACTTTGATTGACCAGTTAATTACCTTCGGGTTATTCCTGAGGAGATTATCGTGATCATAAAAAGGTGATGATTTCTTCAAGTTTCTTACTTCGTTTCGTCTGAGCGAGAAAAGTTAGAAGTACGCGTTTAACTAGATGCAATTGCATTAAAACTTCACAAAACTCACGTCGAAAGTCACCTAAAGTCGACTTAACTTAATTTTGCAATGATTTCCCACCATTATTTTTATGTTTCACGTTAGAAACTTTACAATTCATTAAAAATAATTTCAGCAACCCTATATACACATTTGTGTTCGGTGTGTTGCGCACCATGTGAGTTGACATTTCACACAATAAATCATGCTAATTAACGTTCAATACGAATGTGCATCCCGAGCGATTTGTTTATTGGCCATTCGTCGCCGAAGATATCCATAAATTTTATGAAGTCACGCATCGTTTGGCGCCATCAATGGCGCATTAATTCGCGTTTACTTTCGGTAGCCGCTAACCGCCGCGGCTGCATTAGGCTTTAATTAAACACGATCGCAATCGATCAAACGCGATGCATCCATCCATCGCCATTGTTCCTCAACTGGCATTATATCGCATTGTGCGTTGTGCAGGCTTAATTAAAATGTTTCTCGAAACGCATTCAAAACAATTGCAGTAATAGTCATTTATTTATAAGTGGATTCTTTTGTTTTTATTATAGGCAATCAGTCATACACAGTGCACAATTTAAAAAAGTGTTTTATGAATGTTTTTAAATTAGTTTCAAATTAGGTACATATAGATAGAGTAAACAAAGTTAAAGTTAATATTACAGCGTTCGCGAGTCATAAAAGTGTATAGAGCGTGTGTAGAGAGTTAAAAGAGAAGTTAATTAACAAATATTTAATTGCTTTGTGCGCGCGTTCTTTGTGCAGCACTGCATGCGCGCTTCGGGGTGGCTTTGAGTTCGACTGCCTTCCTGCCGCCGCCTGCCTGCACTTTGAGCATACTGCACAGTCTGTGTGTGTTGATGGCATAAAGCAAATAGGAAAATATCAATTTTACAAACTGAAGTGGTCGTGCTGCGAGTACAAAATGGGATTTTTGCGTCCGGAACGAGAAAAATATATATTCCAACTTTCAATTGTTTACTGCTTTGTCGATGCTTGTTTGTTTGTCAAGCATATGTTTGGACGGTTTTGAAGTTTGTATTACGCGGATGGACGCGTTTTTGGGTGGGCGGCGTCTTCACGACTTCATCTCGGCGGAGAGCCGCGGTGACAGCGGACGCGTCATGCTCGGTAAATCAGCGGCGGGCTGACTAATAGCCAGCTAACCGTGAATGAGAAATGAGACGCGCACACCGACGCGTATTAGAATGGAGGCGGTGGATGTGGCGGCGGCAACGTCACTGCTTGCATTGCATGGAGGTAATAGACGACGTAAGACAAACTGCCAAACAACTAAAAACTTGAAACTTCTTCTTCAAGACTGAGAAAACTTATCTATATATATAAAATTTGCGTGTCACAGTGTTTGTTTCCATACTCCTCCGAAACGGCTTTACCGATTTTTACCAAATTTTATATGCGTATTCAGTAGGTCTGAGAATCGGCTAACATCTATTTTTCATAAGTGATAAGGGTTGTTCACCCTTAACTTTTTTAAAATTTTTGGACAAATTCTTTTGTTTTTATTTTTTATAATGTGGAATTAAAAATACATACAACCCTAAATTTTAGTTTATTATCACCAACCCTATTTCTTTATAGCCATTTTAGTAATTTAATCATTTTTCATCCCGCTCAAAGAAAATTTTTATATGCGTATTCAGTAGGTCTGAGAATCGGTAACTTCATATCTCTAAGTGATAAGGGTTGTTCACCCTTAATTTTTTTAAATTACATTACATACAACCCTAAATTTTTGGTTTCTTATCATCAACCCCTTTTTTTATAATAAGTAAGTTACTTTTTGTCTACACTAAAATTTATCTAGAAACTTGAAATAATTTATATGGCAAAACAACGTTTGCCCGGTTAACTAGTTATCTATAAAACACAAAGTTCCGTTGAAATAATTAAATAATTAGTAATTAATAATTTACTATTAAATAATTCATTTTAAAGATAATGCTTATTTAGGGTAATAATTAAATTATTGTTGCTTTTAGACTGAAATTTAAAAAAAAATCCATGAGTGAACAGGTTATAATAATTTAATAGGTTT